CCTTTCAACTGAACTTTGCTCATCATAATCTAATAACTGTAATTTCGAACAGCCTTCCCAGATTTACTTTGCTCCACTGCAAGTGTGTAATTGGAAAGAAAACTCCAGCTTTGCATTCAAATGAGCTGATTTAGGAGGAGAAGCTGTGTGTACACGAGTGTGTGTGTGTGTGTGTGTGTGTAAGTCTTATAATATGAGCTGTATCCATGCTTGAGTTATCAAATGACAGCGTTTCCATTTATTAAATGAAGACTTCTCCAGGAGTGCATCGGTTTGATTTCAACGATCCGACGAGAAAACTTTAGGACCTCCTCGAGCTTCACTCCTTTCTCCGTCTTTAAAGGGATACTTCTGTGTTTTTAAAGGGAGGTTGACGGCGCCGATAGCTAATATGTGGACGCCATCATGGGCCGAGGTTTGAAGAAGGACGAGTGGTGACCTGATGGTGCAGGAGAGGACTCCTCTGACCAGGTAACAACAGCTTGTGAGTCCAAATCTTTTCCTTAAATCTTCACTGTGTCTGCAGGAGGATCTGACACATTTGGAGGTAAACATCAGGCAAAAGTGAGATGCAAAAATATCAAAATTCACCCCTCATGGTTAAATGAAACATAATTCAGACACGTAGATGAAGAAAACACGTCTTTTTGAATCTAATCTTTCCAAACGGCTGAAATTAAAAGTCCGAAGTCCATGAAAATTGATGAGCTCTCTTAAATCTCTCCTACGCTCCACAACAGCAGATGTGTTCCTCCCAGTTCTTCCTACTTGATGCCGAGTTTGTTGAATAATTTTCAAGCTCCAGATGGTCATGAGAGTTCCTCTACGAATAAATAACAATATCAACTCCAAACTCAAAACAACACGGGCAGCATTCAGAGCGAGAAAGCTACGATTCACGCCGCTGAGTCGCTGCAATTTCCCCCGTGTCACTTTAATGGCCCTTCAAGAGGCCGACCAGCTTTGTGCTCAACACCAATTTCACCCTGTCTGCTTCCTAATGTCGCCTCCTAACTTTACACACAATAACGCCATCGCTGATATTCACATTGATCAAAGAGACGCACGCATGAGCGCAGACATAACCACGGTCGCATTCGAAGGATCTGAGAGCGAGCTGCTTTGACTTCGAAATGAGACACACACCAACACTGAGCGGAGTCAAACCGCACACACAGACCAGGACTGTGTGATCGAGAGAAACACACATCATGATTTCTATCTATGGTGTAAAAAAATACAAAATAAACACAATAAACACAATTTTTATTAAAAAATGGAGACAGAGAGGGTTAATACAAATAATCTGAGTGCACACACAAAAAGATCTGATTGTTGTCAGGGTTTGAAAGTTTACGTGATAAAAGCTGCAGAAAGGAAACTCAATTTATGTCCTAGTAAGAGGGTAGAAAGGTGACGATTGTACCAGCATGAGGAGGATTAGCCACACCTCCATGCTCAACACAAATCGGCATTTTGAGAGTTGCCTGTGTAGTAGCAGAAGCAGGTAACGTAGGAATTATTCAACTCTTGGACACAAATGTCTTTGGGGACATGATGAAAGTTAGTATCACGATTAGCTTTTTATGAGTATTGCAATCCGCTAACGAACATGCTTGTTTCGCGATCGTCCTCTCTACTTCTCTGAGTCTGGCCTGCATAGCTGAGCTCTGGGGGCGGAGCTTGGACTTGTGACATAGGAAATCTCACCGTGTCTGAGTGTGCCGTTTGAGTCTGTGAGAGATTCACTGAGATCTGAATGAAGAATTACTGAGAAATGCAATTTTGCACTTATTTTTCAAATGATATGTCCTGTAGCATCAGAAAAATAAAATATAAACAAGTAGACATGTAGTTAACTTTAACTTAATGTTTAAATTTATGATCTATCCGGGGACTTCGCCTCATTTATCATGCTTTTATTTTGATATGTTCCTGTCTTGCATTAAGGCCACATTATATTCTACAAACTTTGGTAGGAATCAAGCAGAGGTACAACAACAGCAAAAACTCAGGAGCAGATGAACAAAATCAAAGGTCAGGCACACGAATAAAACGCTTGAAAATAATGCAAACAAGGAAACAGAAGATCTCTTAAAAAGGGAGAGGTGCAGAGAGTTCAAATACACAAAGACCTGATGGGAAGGGTCAGGGACTGAAACAAACCCAGAAGACAAGGGAGACCAATTAGACTTTTCAAAATAAAACAGAAAACGACAAGACATGATACAAAAAAAAGGTAGGAAAAAAACAAACCTAACTTGTTAGGTAGGAGACATGACAGTCTGATCATTTTTAGCACAATATATGTAATATTTGAAATTGTAAGAAGTATAAATAAGGCTTTTTATTTAAAGGATTATTTCAGCTCCAAACACATTTTTACTTTTTATAATGTGGACCTTTAAATCCAGAACTGGTTCAGGGCATAAGCGAACTAAACGCCTGCTTAGGACCCCACGGCCAATAGGGGGCCCCCAAGAGCAAAAAAAAAATATATAATAAGTAATATTTTTTTTATTTTTGCATGTATGAGCAATGCTTTCTGTATGATCAAATATATATTATTGTAAAAATAAAAAATAGTAAAAACATTTTATTGCTGCTGCTGATGTAGGCCTATGATTCTTCCTGCCGATATGTCAAAGCGCCGCTACCATTATGTTCCTCCTGCTGTGAAATGTGCACTGGGCATCCAAAGAGCAGGTAGTTGTGGGACAAAACAATGTCACAAAAAAGGACAAGAGCAGAGAAAAGACAAAGAAAGAAGAGAAAAAACGCCAAGTTAAAGGTATGTTTGCATGTCACGGAATGTTAATCAATAAGATTTGTGAATGATCAACAATCAATATTATTGGCAGAAATAGAGGGGCCCCAAAATCAAATTTTGCTTAGGGCCCCATTGAGGTTTGGTCCGGCTCTGTTTGAATCAAACCCCTCCCTCTTATATCACACAGTGTCCGCCCTGCAGACAGCAGCTTCAACACTTAAACATCAGAATAAAGAGACGAGAGGAGGAACGAGTGACACCTTAAACTTTACTAAAAGACTTTTTTACATGTGATCAAAAATCACCGTCTTTTCGACATGTGAGCATTAACGGTGTTGATGAGCAGCAGGACGTCAAACTTGTTTCACTTCATTGAGAGACGCCTGCTGATGATATGCAGCAGATATGCAAAACCAAGACTTCTTTTCCTCTTTTGATCCTTTAATCACCTCGGCTGTTAGATAAGACGTCCACTGTTTCCTTCACGGTGAGGAAGAGTATAAGAATCAATAGCTGCTTATTTAGGGGCTTGGTGCTGCTTTACAGCCCCTCAGGCTCATTAGACGACGAACCACTTGACTTCTGCTGCTGCTGTTTTTTTTTTTTTCTTTTCTGTTTGTGAAGATGGTGAGCACGGCAGTGTTTCAGTCTTCACTGAGGCTTGATTGTGTTGCTTGTTAGTTTGTTTTGAAGTCAAGGCTGATAGGCGATCTATTCTGTCTCACGCTGGGTCTCTGACATCCTCCACTGACCAAAGACCGAGATAACAAGACTCTGGAGGAGAGGAAGACGGACAGATGTGGAGAGACGGGGTCTAAAGAGCCAGTGTTCAGTCTTTCTTTTACCAGGAGTCTGACGGAGACATTGACATCTTCGGAGTTTGCATGTAAACCTTTTCCGAGCAATGACAGTCCAGTCGACTCTCACAGTGGTGTCCTACGGGCAACTTTAGACTGTTGGTGCTGAACACGCTGAGCATTCGATCACATTAATAACTAACTTTGTTTGATTTAAAACTTTAATCTAATCGTTCTTGTTTATTCTGGAAAAACTCAATGTGCATGCGTCCAAAAAAAAGTCACCAGAAAATAATTAAATAATGAAAATTATCAGCTAATGTCACTCGCCGTTCCAAAAGTTGGATAATTAAATAAACAAATATGTGTGTGTTCTCTTGGACATCTTGTCCTGGTTAAATTAGCTGAAATAAAGACAAAATGTTCTCGACTAAATTTGACATCAGCTCTCAGAGAGCCGGAGTGCGTCTCCAGAGAATAAACATGGTGGTCATGAGCGACATCAGTACGACACAGGAGTTTTTAAACATATTTTCTTTGTGTCAAACATAATCAAGGAGGATATATTCGAACCGTTTTAGACACAGCTGTTCCCATCATGCAAACTCTATGACAAACTCTTAGTTTGCTGTAACATTTACAGTTTACTGACATCCCATTCGCTCTCCGCCCGCAGTAAAAGTAAGGAGACGGGGAAGACAGGAGTCCAGCTGTGACGGGACAGTAAGCTGCTGTTTTTCTTTAACAAGAAAGCTGGGAGAAAGTTTAACATGTTTTCAAATAAATAAGGATGCATTTAAACCATTAATGTGGAATAAATCCACATTTTAATCCAGTTTAAAAGGGCGTATTTACACTTCAGCATCAACACGATTACGACCCAAGGTGGGCTCATTAATCCAAAATCATATCTGTTCAAAATGAACCAAAGTTAATATCCAATCCAGTAAAAGATTTAAAAACACATTATTCCCATGTAGCACCACAGATTAAATTAACTCGTCAAAGGCTGTATGATCGAGCTCAAGTTGTCTGGGATCCGTCTTCATTCTCAGGTGAAGCTCAGTGCAGATCCTTGAATTCAGGCACATCATCGTGATCCAGATGATTTGACTCTGCAAGAACTCGGTGACTCTCCTGCCGAATGCACACAATGTTAGTTTCAGGAATTGAAGAAAATCCCGGAAATATCAAGAGCAATTCGGTTCCAAATTCATATAATGACAGAAGGCGGAATCAAGTTGTCCATAGTATAAACAGTCCATGGAATCGACTCTTTAATCCACCAATTAGCCCTTTATTATGCACTTAATGTAGAAGAGCTAGCTTACAGAGCCAGTGGGTGTAGACCCAGTTTTTCAGTGACCTGTAACTCCATCTCCATGTAGACAGACGTCCAGACCACAGAGGAAATATGTTATCCAGAGACGGGGGTTTAGACTCTATTTGTTAAACATCCAAACTCATGAGAGCTCCACAGTCTGATCCTGAATCTCTGAAAAACACACAGACACAACACAAGACTGCAGGATGTACCACAAAAATCCAAGTATGAGGTTTTATTCTCTTCGTTCTTGTAAAGTGGGCTGAGAAAATGAGCTGTAATTCACAAAGTCACATAACATCCTGCAAAGACTGAATTATGCCGTAATAAAAGCGAGCAGGACGGCGAAAAGATGAATGAAGGAAAAGAGGAATCCATTAGGATTTTTTTTAACACACTGCCGGTGATTCATCTGCGCCTCAATGAGCTTTTATAACATAACATTTTTCATCAAAACAGCAGTGCTAAATGGCCGGTTTTGTTGCCAGTCCCTCACTATCAGAAGGGAAGAAAGGCTTTTAAGAGCTGCTATTTTGTACCATACCGATGTTTAACAATCATTCAGAGAGAGATTCATCAGAGAGAGGGCGCAGAGATCAGCGATTATGTTCACAGACGCTCAAGCAACAATAAACTTTATGTCAGGAAAAAACTGAAACTACATCAAAGAAGACGACAGCTTCACAAAGGATCGTCGACGTTATCGAATTTAACTTCACTACAAACAAAGAGTACGGACACGCTTTCAATGAAGACGGTCTTAATTTAAAGCACTTCAACTTGACCAAAATAAAGTGCAGGAATAAATACGCTAATTAGGGATAAAACATTACAGCACAACAACAACAACAATAATAATGTAACTCTCAATTTCCACCACATCCAGAATGGCTACGAAAAAGCCGTATTTGCCAATTGTAGCTGATCATAACCATTGAAGTTATCGTGTCATTTTCCACTGGCTTCTTTCTGTTCTTCTGCGGATAAATGCCGGATAAATTCAGCACAGATTAACCCGTGCTGGAAAGGAAGTCGGGCACAGACACAAAATAAAACATCCGGCTTCTTTTTCAAAATAAAACACTCCGTGTTTCAGGAGGATCATATTTCACACCATGCAAACGGGCGGAGACAAACAAGTGAAAGGTTTTTAGACGTCATTTCACCCCGATGACACCATGGATGAGGAGATGCTGATTCTAGAAGTCTAGAAGTAGATTTCCTCCTCTGGAAGGACACAATCTACTGCTTATACAGTTAGCCTCTGTGGCTAAAGACAACTTGTTATCACGTGATTGCATGTGAATCTGCGGGTTCCTGTGCGTTCTCGCAATTCCTGCTGTCCGTAATTGGCCACGGAATTCGCCTCACAAACGGATCCGGTAGGAATTGGCGTATGGCGAAAATTGCTGCCATTCTGGATGTGGTGAAGATTGGGGGTAATACTTCTGAACTTTCCAGTCAGATTCAGGGTCCAGAACATCTGGCCATATTTTATAATTTGACATTTTGAGTAGGAAAAAACCATCGGTCAACACAATGGCAATGACTTTAAGGCATGGCAACAGTGGAGGAGGATACCAGAGAGCTGGTCAGTCTCAGGAAGCCGTGGAAAAAGTAGATTAAATAGCTAGTGGTTACAGTCCTCTAATCTTTAGAAAAGTGAGTGACAGTGGGAATGAAACTGGTTTCAGATCAAAACCAGTTCTAACTGGTTTGGACCCTCACTGACAGATCTTCCTCTTGGTACCCTGGCTCAAAATCTTAGAGAAATGCTGTGATTTCTGTGCTAATGGAGGGCTGCTATCTTTGTCTCAGTCTGTTGACCAATCAGAGTCTGTATCTACGACCAGCTGACCTCTACAGGCCGAATCTGAAGCCAGACTTTCCCATCTTGGCAGAGCAGTGACAGAAGTGAAACTCGGGATAAAGTTTCTGTTATTGAAGAAAGAAAAAGACAGAAAGTCCAAACAGGTTTTAATCGGAGGAAGGATGAAGGATTAGCAGAATCCTGATGGCGTTGGTTTAATTAAAATCTTATCACCTCCCATCTTTTCTGGTGACGGGTACGAGACAGCACATGAAATGAAAATCCATCAACTCTCCTCCAAAAATCAGTTCAAATCTGCTCTGTCGTCTTTTTGTTGTCATCTGAAAAACGCTACAGACGCAGCATCAGTGATTCTGCTCAGCTTTGTGGCTTCAGTGGTTTTGGTCTTGATGTGAAGTTGATAATCCTCAGCAATCAGCCACAAATGGGGCTTTCATTGGATTTGGAAAAAGTGTTTTGTTTTTGTCGTCCGCACTTTCTCAAAATCAATCTGGATGCAATCTAAATCTGCAAATACTCCAATTTAGGGCTTCGCTCTTAATAAGGCCTCGGAGTCCCTCTAATCTGTAGTTTTATGAGAATTATTGATTTCCCTAAAATTTATTCCCTACCACTCTAAAAACACACAATTTACGAGCCCTTGTTTTCTGTTGACAGAGACAAACTCGACTCTGGCTCATTGAACAGCTCCTGCCTGGATGCCCGGCTGAAGTGTTTGTGCTGTTTCTTAAATAATAAGAAGATGGCAAAGAGCCCAGAGGGAGGTGGTTTTGTGCCAGCACAGAGCCTGGGGCTTTACAGGAGCACCAGGCCATGGATGTGATTATGTCTAAAATAAACCAGGGTCAGGTTTCTGCGCTGCAGGGTTTCTGCACCACAAGTGTTTACAGGAAAACAGAGGAAACCGTGTTTGGTACAAATAATCAGGTCAAGTGCTGCTCTTGACCAGCAAACTGTTTCTATTTTTGGTGGGTGAACTGCTCCTTCTTTCACATTTCTTCATTTCTGCACTGGCTGATAAGAAACAGAGGAAAAGGTTAAAGCAGGTCACTGCATGAGAACTCTGTTGTGTTCAGAAATGTTCAGTTTTTATGCAAATGTGTAGCTCCCTGTCGGAAAGCTAGAGACCCCTGAGGTACGAACAGACCTCCTGAGTTTAATGCAGAGTTTCATGCCATCCCCCCTCTGCTGGTCACTTACTATCCCGAATTGCAGAATCTCAAACCAGAACTCCACAAGGTTAGTCCAGGACAAGATCGTAGACTACCTCTCAAAGCATCATAAAGTCTAAAGGTCCTTACACACCAGGCGCGAATTCGCCAAGTGAATTATTCGCCTTATTCGCCTTTTTTAAAACAGCATAAAGACAATGCAAGCTTTTTCTCTCTTGTGCCAAATTTTTCTGAGATTCGCAGGCGGATATCTGGACCTGCTAGACCTCTGGCCAATCAAAAGTCATGTTGTTGATGATGTCACAGATGCCCATGCCTTTCGCTCCGCAAATTCGCTGGTGTGTAAGGACCTCAATACTTGACTAGTCCTCCCTCATCCATCAACCACCATTATCTGGGTTTTCAGAGCCCAGCACAAAGTAGGACTGTGCCAGACAACTGAAACTACGTGAAGCTGCTGTATACCGCGCTGGATCACCAAAACTGAGACGGTCCTTAATTCCTAGATTACCCAGAATTCCCTTATAAAACATTGTTGATTGTGTTGCTGGTGGTCTTGTCCACTATTTTGTATCTTAATAAGGATTATATATAAATTTTAAACTATTTGACTGGTGGCAAAAGTCTCCTTGAATGATGAAAAAGACATCTTTGACATATATCTGTTTGTTGTTTAACACAGGGGCTTTTTTTCTCGCTCTAATGTCTTAAAAATGACTTTACATACAGAGTACACATGCTGAAAATGAATGGACTCAATGCAATCATGCTCCACTTGTCGAGATGAAGTCTTGAGGCAGATCTCAGTCTCTTCCATTCCTCTAATTACATCCTTTTACATGTGAGTTAATTCCTCGAGGGAGGTGTCAGTCTACTGTAGATTTGCTGAAGGTCCTGTCTGCGGTGTAAAACCATTTAGTGGTGAAAACGTCTGTATCTGCGTAGTTGCTGAAAACAAAGATAACACAGGCAGCGTGAGCACCTGTGTGCATCAGTGAAGAATTGATATTCTCCTCACAGAGCCGCCGAGCGTGAAACAGATGAGCGCTTTCCCTTTGTGTAAACTTGCAGGTCTCAGCAGCGCAGATTTATCCATTTAAGGAGGAAAACCAGAGGAGCAGGCCGGCTGAGATGGGAAATAGATTGGATTGAATCTTAAATCCATCTTTTTCTTTAAATGTGAGTCTCTGAGCAGAAAAAAAGGCGTCCCAGGGCAGTGAGATAGTCTAGTTTTTTGACCCTTTATCTTGGACCATGAACTAAAAACACACCACTGTCCCACTGTATGTGAAGACTGCCAATCCTGTTATTCAGACTGATATTGTTCATGTAGTTTTGAGGAATGAGATGTAAAGGTGTAGATATTTAGTGGACGTCGATACACTTCTCTTTCATGACTGCCTGTTAAAAAAAGACTCACTACAGGGCGTCAAAATATGATCCAGCTTCAGTTCACCTATCCCAACCTGTATCATCAACAGACCATATTCCTATGACTTGAGTCATCTTCGTATAGGAATCTTCTGTTTGTGTTCATGCAGAAGTACGGTGCTCTGGGTCATAAGTCCTATAAACCTTAAAAATCCGTCTGACTTTAACTCTGGGGGCTCAGATCGGCCTCTTCGAACCTGCTGTTAGGTTTAATACTCGTCTTAATCAAAAGTTATGGCTGTGGACTCTGCTGTTTCCCCACTGTATTGATTTCCTTTAAAGTCTCTTATTGCTTGACTTCTTGTTATATTTCTCAGTTTTTGTCCTGTAAGTGCTTGTATGAAGTTTGCCTTAATTGTACTTAAATGTGTGTAACTCGGCTCCTATCACGTCTTCTTTACCCATAAACTGAACTGGTTGCCTGCTGGGGATGTCGTCTTGCTCATTTCACCACTTTGTACCAATATTTATTGAATGCACATCAGTCATTATCTCCAAAGCGCTCAGCTTTCTCGATTTGGTCAGCTTGTCCAGCCAAAATGACTGATTTCTTTTGTTTTATTGTCTTTTCTGCTAATGGTCCGTTATCTTCTGCGTGCTTTTCTTCACTTTCATTCATAAACTTCTACGAATGCATTTTTGCTACTGATCAAGATAAAAATGCAGCTTAGAGTGCAGTGAATTGAGTTTTTGTCCAGCGTGTCCATCCAGGGGCCGAGGCTTAAGTTCTTGATCTTCAAGCCTTTGTTCTTCTGGAGCACTCGCCATTTTGATTTGGTGTTTCTCTTCCTCTAAATCCATCTAAAGCTAAAATTCATTCAACTCTTACTTCAAAAATACTGACGTGTCTGTTTAAGACCGTCAAAAATGACCAACCATCGAGGAGCCTCAAACTGTAAGGACGTGAAGAACATCAGAAAACATGTTTCCCAGGTCCGTGCAGTTGAACATTGAACCCACCTGGAGTAGACTAAGATAAACGTGAGATATCATTAATGGAGACAGAGGGGCGCTTCTGAAATCCAGATCCCTCCTCCATCATATAATCCATATCTTTCTCATTTCAGAGCCTGAAGAATTTCAGAGTCCTCGGTGATCCTATCTGCACCCCTCAGGGCGGACAGTAAAACATGACATATAAGGAAGCAAATCAATCGCTGCAGGCCTCCTCCAAGGTCGTAGATCTCTGCGATGAGGAGGAAGATGAGTAGGTAGAAGATTGAAAAAGCCGAGAAGACAAGAGGCAACAGATAAAAACTGTGTGAACAACACGACCTGCGTGATGCAGATAAAATACTGCCAACGTGATGTTTTTGTTTTTCTTGATCATCTCGAGACTTTCTCTTCACCCTGATACATAAACATGTATGGGGTATGATCTCCTGCTTCTCACGGACTGTGGATAACACTTTAAGACACACTGGCTACCCAAATACAGCCCTCTGCAGAGGAGTGTGGGGTTCAGCGTTTTATCCACTCACCTGTACTGTAAGGTCGGGGGTCTGTCTGCAGGCAGCCTCCCTGGAGGTCTGTTTTCCTTTTACTTTGTTCGCCTCTCTGTCAGTTCTGGTGGCTTCCCAGTCTCTGCGATCGATGATGGGCATGGTAAAAGCATGTTGTGCCTGGGCAATTTATCAGGCCTGCTTACTCCTACCATGGGGGGTCTTCTATGAGGCCCACCAAGTGGACCCCAGAGTTTCCTACAGTTTTAGCAGTCTCAGCTGGAGGATCTGAAGTCTGCCACTCCACTGTAGGGCATGGTGGCAGCAATCGAGGCAGTTTGTATGAACAGATATGCACTGCCTGAAGAAGGCTGTTCCTGGATTTGAAGGTTCCTTAGGGGTACTGGACTTTCAATCCCTCCAGCATACCCCCATTGAACCTCTAGGGGATATGGACCTAAAATAGCAGTCCCTTAAAGCTGCCTTTCTACTGCCGAATCAGCGAGCTCCATGCACTCTCAGATCATGCTGAGTGCTGCAGGTTTTCACAGGATTAGTCGAGCTTGGTTCTCTGACCAAATCCAGTTTTTCGGCCTGAGATCCTGTCCAAGTTCCACTTGTCCCAGGCGGTAGAGCTGTGGTCACTTTCCACTGCGTAGGAATGTCAGGAAGATGAGAGGCGCCTGTGTGTCTTGTGTCCAGTCAGGGTCTTACAAGAACTCATCAGCTCTTCGTCTGTTCTGACTCTAGACATTTGGGACAACCCTTGTTCAAGTCTTGGCTGTCAGGCATTCAAACTCTCAGGTGCAAGCTCCGTCTCAGGTTTAGGCAAGCTCAACACATAGTGTGGTCATCTCATAGGCTTTGTGGCAGGGAGCCTCTCTCACTCTTGGTCATGCAAATCTACATTTTCCAGGTTCTGCTGCATCAGTAGGAAGCTGGTACGGATTGGTTTAGCGGTAGATGAAGACACCTCTTTCGGTCACCCTGGCAGCTGCTGGCTGGTCCTTAGAGGTCTCCTGGTTCACAGTCTTGGTGTGGTCTTTGCCTGAGAGGTCTAGATCAGTTCTGCGTCTTGCAGACTGACTTAAGCAGTCCCTCTGCCTCTCAGGCTTGGCCTTTGCATTTGAAAGTAGATTGTTTGGCGTATTCCGATGTATTCGTTGAATCTCTGTGTCTTTAAAGTCTAGTTGACCGTTTCTTGAGATCTAACTTTCACAGCAGTGAGCAGCTTCGACAATAATAGATGAAGAAGTCAAAGAAACTGTGAGGGATACCTTTTGTTGCAGGAGGAGCTTAACAGTGAAAATTTAAAGCAGCTCCTTTCTACACTGGTGTTCGAACACTGCAGCTTAATCACACTGAACTATGGAGACAACACGCAGCTCCAGACTCCTACAAACAAATCAGGGGACAAGTGCATTATTGCTGCATGGATTTAAGAGGCCATGAAAGGGGAGATTTATCTTAGAGTCCATTCTGCCTGATGCATAATTTCCCGCTCACATCTTCATTTCCTGAGGTGCTGAATAATGCACAAAAAGTATATGAAGAGAGGAGGCTAAGGGAGTAAGTTATATACGCTTTCTAAGTGTGTCTCTGAGTGTGTACCTCTGCACCCTGGAGCTACAGTCACGACTCCAGCTGCAGAGTTTATTGTTAAAGAGTGTGTAAGTGGAGGAGCAGTGTGTGTCTCAGTGCATTAAAAGAGTGATAACTTCTTTACCTTTTTAACCGTTAAGGGGTTGGAAGATGAGTTTGTGAAGAACTCGTAGTCGTGATCCTCCACACTGGTGTCCATGTGTATTAAAATGAAGGAGCGAAGAAGACGCAACTGTGTTTCTATTCGTTATTTTCTGTTCGTTATTTTGTGTTTATTTCAGACCCAAACCAGGATGTTACAGAGTTCAGACTTTGTTGTTTTTGGTGCATCTGCAAACAGCTTCTAGTGGTCACTTAGGGAATTGCAGTTTCAAGCATTTCTGCACCAACTTCATTTCACAAGACTGGAGGTCGTGACTTGGTGTGGATGTGAAATAAGAGTTAAATGTTCAGGACACGACTGTAGGAGAGATTTTCAACATCAGTGAGGATTTCATGGTTTAAAACATGTAGATTTGAAACAGTTAGTGGGCGGGATTACTGGTCTTAACACATTCAGTGCCTTTGACGGATTTTTTTTGTCTGTTTTGTTTTCTTCAAGAGGGCGCTTCTCCCCAACATGCAATGAAGTTTGGGGTTGTTCTTAACGCAGAGAAGCCAACAAATACGTCATAACCATGTTACAGTAACAAAAACAAGTACTCATCAGTGAGACCTGTGCCATCAAGTGTGCCAGTAAGCCTAATTGTGGAGTGTATTTTGTCTATGAGCACAGTAGGAAAATGCTGAAGTCATTAGCCAAAAGCTAACGGTCTTGGCGCATCTCGTGGGCGAGGTGCTTCTGTCTCTGGATCCAGTGGAGATCCCGGTACCGGACCATCACATCATCATCAGACAATCAAAGAAACAATTGTCCGGCATGTCGTTGTGCCGCCACTGCCTGTACTGGTGAGATTGAGTCAGAATTTCAGCGACAGTTCTGGCGAGGAGGACACGAGCAGTCCGTGGGTTAAGTTACGGCATCAGGTTCTCAAGAGCCAACACGTAGTAGAGGTACTACTACTAGTAGTGGTAGTAGTAGTAGTTTGAAGTGAAATGAAATAGACGATCAGAGTTCTGCTTGAAAGTCTCTCCTTCATAAAAATGTGTTTTTCCCAGATCGGCAAAGATGATATGACCACGCTGCATTGAGCAGGCAATAACTAAACACAGGAGTTGGTTAGAGACTAACTTTTTTTTCTGGTGAAAGAAGAGAATCACCTCTTTCTTTTGAGATATTAAACCTAATTCTAGTCCAAACACAAGATATTCTGTGGGTCCTAAAAAATACAGGAATTTCTGTTGTGGTCAATGGTGACACTGGGTGAAAGTTTCATAAATGAACCCGGCATGAATGAGTTAAGTTCTTAAAGGCAATAATCTTTAAGCCCTCACAAAACTAAGGAAAGAGATGAACCTTGGGTGGGAAGT